AATATACCCCTTCAATTCTCAAAAGATCCTTATGAGGCTCAAATATTAGCTCCATTTCATAGATGAGGAAAGCAAGGCACAGAGAGATGAAGTAACTTACTCAAGGTTGCCCAGTTAGAACATAGTAGAACCGAGATCTCAACTTCTGCTCTGCCTTGCCTCTTGTAGTAAGTAGACTTCATATCTACACACAATTAGTAGATTTTGCCTTTCCATCTGTGCTCATGTAACTCCAGGCCATTTGAGACAGCCTCACTTTTTCTGCCTAGATGCCTGTTTCTCATCTGTTGATCTAAAAAAATAGATGCTAATCTGAGGTTAAGTCATCTCTGACACTCATACTCACTGTGAGCTTCCCTCTTACTACTTGGAGTGCTTAATGTTTGTACCATTCATTTCACATTCAATCACCTACAAGTTCCTCGCATATTTTGCTTTATTATTCAACTCTCTGGCACGTATATATGCACTATTTTCTCAAACAGATTGCAAGTTCAGGAAGGGCCAAGCAAATTGGTTTATTTCTGCATGTCATTCATATACCTAGCACATCATTGTATATAGTAGATGTGCCCAGAATGTTTGTTGAATGACTTTTGATCCAGCCTCTGAAAGTGGCTTCTTCCATTAAAAATTATGCCTGGCCACAAGATGTCTTACTAATAATGCTTTCCTTATGCTCTCTTCTTTACCTAGAATACCATTCCCCTCTACTCCCTAGATCTGATTAACTTGTACTTACACCTATTACCTAGATGTCACATATCCAAGCCTTCTATGACAACCATGGTCCAGACTGGCTTGGGTTTGTGTCTACCCTCTGTTCCCATTTTACCTGTTTCACCTTTCTATGCCACATACATTAAAGGGTTTGGCTTCTGTATCTGTTTTTACATTTCTAGACTGTGAACTCCTTGAGGACAAGGATGGCATCTTATTTAATTTACATTCTAGTGCTTAGCACAATTTTGGCATATGGAAAGTGATCAATGGATAGTGATGAAGGAGTGAATGAATGAGTGAATAAATGAAAACAGGCAAAGCAATCCTAGTATGTTTCTAATAGCCTGAATGATGAGAAGAAGTAGGATACAAGAAGGTATCCATGGAAACTATAAAAATATAAGCAGCCCTATCTTACACTTGGCCAAAAGCTTCCTTATGATCATGGATTAGCTAAAACCACAGTGCATCCTTATTCTGTCAATTTAATATTGAATACTGACAATGTGCTAGAAGTTGCCACCTAGAAAATAATGCTTTTAGTCCCTCAGCATCTCAGGTACTATACCAACTTGGTTCTGATAATTGAGACTGCTCTTCTGGTCAAACTCCCTCCTCTCTATGCTATGAATGGTCTTCCTTTCACATTCATTCATAGGCAGCTTGCCTCCTTCAAGCTGTACTCTTAGGAAGGACTGAAAGACAGCCAGCATTTCTCCAACTTCTACTTTATGAGTTGGATACGTTCCAGTTGCTAGTGGGGGGAGACAATTCTAGATGATTCTTCCAAGTATGAGGTGCAATGGTGTCATTAATATACTTACTGTGCTGACAGCTCTGGCCCAAACCACCTTCTATCCTACTTGGGGACTGTCCATTGTTCTCTAGTGTATGATTAGCAGATTAGCTATCATGTAGGAAGCCAGGAAAATGAACTCACAGTAAGCCCTTCCAAAGCAAGAGTAATTCATTACCCAGCCTGATTTCCACTTAAAATGTACTTTAAGCACACTTCCAACTACAAACCCTAAATCACCCTGTGTTCACAAAGTCCATCATTTTTTATTTTATTGCATGGCGTTGGCGTGACATAATCCCTTGCAGAGCATCTTGGAGTGCTTTACAGATCAATAAATTACCTACCTGCATAGTGGAAGAATTGTCTGCAAGGCCAGCACAGACATTCTGCAGGCAGCCTGTCCTCCAGGAAGCAAGCAAGGCTGTGTAGGTGCCAAGAATGGGCAGGAGAAGGGAGCAGGCAGATGGATGGATTGGGGAGTAGTGCCTGAGAAGGGAATGCTCCAGTTGAAACTCTGTGAATAAAACACATCAAAGTGTTTATTTTTGCAATGATCAGTTTAAATGATTCTAGAACTCAGAAAATTTAGAAGTTTGTACCCTTTAGGCAGTCAGAAAATCAAACGCTCAGTCATTAACTCATCAGTTACCTTTCTGTCCTGGAAGGCTCCATCTAGCTTTTAAAATGATACAGCCATAAATTGCAATATTATGTCTTAAAAGTCTCAGATTGTACAGCCAGTGTTCTCTCTTACACTCTCACCACATCCACTCTTCATTATTTCTGTTCTACCAAATACTGTTAGAGAGCAGGCAAGTGTGTGTGTGTGGGGGGGGTCCACAGGCATGTGCATGTGTGCATATATACACACGTACACGCTGTCTTTCTATATAAAGTTCAATGTGGATTGAAATCTAAGAATTATAATTTGGTGCTTACTTTATGTAAGATACCCTATTTAGGAGAGCAAACAAATAAAAAAATCAAAAGATGAATAGGGTTCTTATTTACGATCTTATATTCAGGTAACTTATAGCATAGAAGGCAAGGTGGAGTTCATGTAGAGAGTTGACCTTGAATGCTGCCCAAGAGGTGCTACAATGCTGTGGGGTCCCCAGGAAGTAGTCACATCCTTTTGGAGGTCACCTGGAAGGCCTTTGGGAAGGAGTGATAATTCACCCAGGTCTTGAACACTTGTAATAGGTACATATTGTCAGAGAAAAAGTCAGCAGTGAGGACCTGATGACAAGGAGAAAGGTGCAGTCCACGCCATGAATAACGAGTGTTCAGTGGAGCAGGTTCAGGACATGCATGGAAGATACTCTTGGAGAAGAGGGGAAAGCAAGGAAAGCTAAGATATCTTTAGAGCATCTTCCTTTCATAGAGGGAAAGATTAAACACATCTAGGAATGAGTAATGGTTCAAGAAGAGAAAAGACCGGCATTGAAATATGCAAACGCATCTGATTTTAGGGTAGGTGCCCCACTCTGGCCTTGGCACAAGGAATAAGTTGTGCTGTGGTTCTTTCCTGAGCTCTCCAACTGGCCAGATCACATTGTATGCCGGTTGGATGTTGTGCCCTAGAATTGCACAGCTTGGTGGATCTGAGGAATCAAGAAAAGAATGTAATATGAAGAAACAAAAAGAGTGATGGATGGAGGGGCTACTTTTGCCAAGAACTAATAAGTCAAAACTAGTATCAGTAGGACTGAAATAATATGTGCTCATGATACAACTCTGTGGTTGTCAGGAACTTGACACATGCAGACTGGGAAGGAGATTTCCTTGAATAACCATTATAATTCAGTCCTCTAAACATTTGTTGAGCTCTTAGTATGAATACAAATATGAATAAGCCATGGTTCAGGCTATCAGAAAACTCATGGTCTAGTAGGTGAGTGATGCTAAGCAAATAACCAGAACATAGTGGGATAAGTGTCTAGAACAAGAGTTTGGGGTCTTAGTATAAATGACACCCTTACTCTATCCACTTGAGTTATAAACCATTTGACAGATAAGACAAATGAGTAGCCACATGTATAGCCAGATATCACATTTATTAGTGGTAAAGCAGAGACTGGAGAATTAGGCTCAGATATGCAGCACCAATGAGGGTCTCCAGCTGGACCCCAGAATGAGACAGGTGTACACATGAGGTGGCTGACTGGACTGCAGGGCTTGTCGTATCCCTGTGGGATGCTGCTCCTGTAAAGCAAGCACTAGGAGAAGCACAGCAGAATGTCAGCTTCCAAAGGGAAGCCTAATTTCAGAACTAAAGGCTGGAGGAAGTGGAGGTCCTGCCCCCAACTTTAGCCATTAGAATGAATGCTGTCCTCCTTATAAGGAGTAATTTAGGAAGGAGAAAGAGAGAAAGAAGAAAGAGAGAGAGAGAGAATGAACTAACTGATGTTTTTGATTTCCTCATCAAGTGTGTATAGAGTTGTCTGGGCACATGGATAAAGTGGCAGTAAATGTGAGTTATCATGGAGAATAGAGAAGTGTAGGGTTAGGGAAGGTTGCAACAAAGAAAGTAGCATTTGATTTGGGCCTTAGGGATGACTGAGAGTTGTCCAGGAAGGATATAAGGAACAATATAGAACCAAATTCATGTTGGTTAGACAAAGCATGATGTTCTGAGGATAACAAGAGGGTCAGAAGAGGTGGGATCATTGGGGATGGCCATGGAAACATAGGTTTGTTTGTTTGTTTTTGAGTTGGAATCTCACTCTGTTGCCTAGGCTAGAGTGCAGTGGCATGCTCACAGCCACCACAGCCTCAACTTGCTGGGCTCAGGGGATCCTTCTGCTTTAGCCTTCCAAGTAACTGGAACTACAGGCACATGCCACCATGCCCAGCTAATTTTTTCATTTATTGTAGAGATGAGGTCTTGCCAAGTTACCCAGGCTGCTCTCAAACCTGTGGGCTCAGGCATTCCTCTTACCTCGGCCTCCCAAAGTGCTGGCATTATAGGCGTGAGTCACTGGGCCCAGCCAGAAACATAGGTTTATGCTTGATTCTGAGTGACTTTGTACATAGGAGAAGGAGCCTGGATTGATCAGTGTGGAATAGGGAGCAATCAGGTTGTTTAGACAGAGATGTGATATGATCAGAATTGCATTCTTTGTAAGACATCTCTGAATGCAGTGTGGAGGATGACTCGTGGATATGTGTCGGAGGTGGGTGGGGGTAAGAGTAGAGATGGAAGAGGTGGAGGCTAGAGAATAGTTATCACAGTGTTGCAGTGGAATTTATTCCCATTCGGGCTCCCTGACTTTGTGTTTAAACAGGAGGAAATGGAAGCTAAATTCAAGGTAAAATATTTTTCATGTTTAAGGTAATTCCTCTAATTTATCATCATTAACCTACTATAGTGTGTGTATTTCTGTGTCTGGGCTATTCTGCCAACCACCATTTTAAGACAACAAAGAAATATTTCAGCAGAATTTTTATTTCCTTTTCATCTGTTTTGTCTCCACAGTATCTCCCAAAATTGTAGAGATTTCTTCAGATATCTCCATTAATGAAGGGAACAATATCAGTCTCACCTGCATAGCAACGGGTAGACCAGAGCCTACGGTTACCTGGAGACACATCTCCCCCAAAGGTAAGAGAAGCATTTTGGTGCATCGTTTCATGAGAGGTAATGGGACAATTGTTGGCCATTGGTAGGAGGTTATGGTGCTGGTACCTAGTCCAAGGAGTTCTTCATTTCGGTAGCCTGATAATAAAATGCCTATGGCTCTGCAGATAATTTTTGTGTTCTACACAAGACAGTCACATTCTTAAGATTTCAGAATTCATACCCGAGTATCTCCTCAATCCTTTGGCTATTAATCCCGGTTGTCTCTGCATGAAATGGTGTACGATGTTCCAGGTGAGCTTAACATGTCACTTGATGATAGAAGGATCTGCCTTGGTGGCAATTGTTCACTGGTTATTTTAAGAGAGAGAAAAATACAAACACATAATAATAGGTTAGAGTTATAAGTGGCCGTGTTCCTAAAAGGAAAATCTCCAAGTCTGTGCCTCTTCAGTATTGCCAAAAATCTGGTCATTAGCTGTTTTTGTGGTTTTGTTGTTGTTTTACTCCGATTGATCCTGGAGAACAAATATAACATAATGTGTGACTAAATTGCAAAATTTACTTTATCTGAATGTTCAGATGTTATGTAGACCAGACTAAGTGTTATTTTGTGCTTTCATGGATGGAACATTAAAACCTTTAGAATTTAAGACAAGACGGCATGTATTATTAAGGTAGTTTTTATTTGGGAATAAGAGAAATAAAATTATTTCATTCTTTCTTAAATATTTATTGAGTGTTCGCAGTCGTCCAGGCTCTCTTCTAGGCACTGGGGGATATAGCAATAAACAAAAACAGACAAGTTTTTGCTCTCATGAGTTGACATTCTCATGAGACAGATGACAAAAAATAAAATTAAAAAAAATAAAGAGTAAGAAAATAGCTGGGCTTGGTGGCTCAGCCTGTAATCCCGCGCCTTTGGAAGGCTGAGGTGAGTGGATTGCCTGAGCCCGCGGGTTCGAGACCTGCCTGGGCAGCGAGACCTCATCTCTACAATAAATCAAAAAATCAGCCGGGCGTGGTAGCGCATGCCTGTAATTCCGGCTACTTGGAAGGCTGAGGCGGAAGGATCGCCGGAGCCCAGCAGGTCGAGGCTGCAGTGGCCAGGAGCGGCCACTGCACTCCAGTCTGGGCGACAGAGTGAGACTCCAACTCAAAAAAAAAAAAAGAGTAAGAAAATAGAATAGGATATAAGGAATGACAGAATGACAAGGGCTTTGATCAGAGAAGGCTCTGAAAGGGGCTCTTTGAGTAGAGACATGAAGAGAGATCCTTAATTCTGCTGCTTATTGCTGGTTAATGTGAAAGGCATATATGTAATGGTGTATGCATACGTGGGTATGCATGCATGGATGAATTAAGGTATGTGATTGGCACGAAAGAAGCTTATTAGGGGGTGCTCTTGGGACAAACTCCTGTGGATGGAAAGAGAAGGAAGAAGGGTTGGGTGGAGGGAGAAGTTGACTGTAATATCAGTTTACCCTCTGTAAAGTCAGCTTACCCTCTGGAGATTTCTGAAGCTAAGATGGCCCTTCAGGAATGTCCTCTATTGAGGTGATGAGGCTGGCCCTCTATATCAGCACAGCAGTCTGAATTTAGGCTGCCCCCAGAAGAGGTGTGATCTTGGGCCAGTCGTCTTTCTTCACATGAGATAGTCTTCACAAGGGACTGACAGCGGAGGGCTGTCCACCAGCAGCACGTTCATCCACTGGGTCATATGTGCTCCATTCCCTAAGGCAGCAGTTCCTCCGTGTTCACTACACTTTGACATTTAAAAAAATCAGGGGACGGCTATGAATGGGCCCCAAATACTGAATTTTCTTTATCAGACAGTGACAGCTGACCTTGATAGGTGTGCTCAGAAAAGGCATGAAATTTTCCGTTGTGTTTGGCCTGACTTCCTGAGAGCTATTCTAGGCCATTATTCTCAACACTATCACTGTAAACAGAAGGATCAACAAGAGCACTGGCATGCCTCCTTATCTTCATTTAAAATGACCTTATGCGTGAACTGGTCCAAAATCAGGGAGGAGGCTTCAGCTGTGCATGAGATCATTAGTAATGGAGAATGGCCTAGGGCACTTCTGAAGGAGGAACCATACAATGGACAGACTTTCCAAGTGTGTGGCACATGCCATTCATCGTAGCTTAATGCTGAGTCCCCAGTGCTATTGGATGCCAGGTCAGTCTGTGCCTTTAGAATCTGCAGAACATTTATCATCAGGGTAGACTTCCTTTGCCTTGTGTCAAGAGACTCTGTCTCCTGTTTGATGTCTTTTCTCATTCCCTCCTCTGGCCAGTCAGCTCTTTGTCCTTTTCTGGGCGATTCTCTCCCCGCTTCTCCTCCACTCATCTCTTTTGTCCTTCCCTTTCATTCCTATACTTTCCCTGTGCTTTTCTTTTGTTCTGTGCTTTTCCTTTCTCTCACAGCCTCCCATATGTTTCTGCTTTAATTTCATCCTTTTCTACATTCTTTCTCTCCTTTCCTTGTAATTACTTGTTGTCTCCCCTCTGAGGTTTGAGCTTCTTCCATTCATCTTGCTGACATTCACACTGCTGTGTGTTAGAGTCCTTTGTTTCCCTTTTGTGGCCATCGAGCAGATTCATTTCCCCAGGGGACTTTTACCTGAGCCTGGGCCAGATGTCCCATTTTACTTAGGTTTTAGCTGCTATGGAAACAGAAGATGGATCAAGGAAAGAGGAGCAGGATAATCAGACTCTACCTGCAGATTAGAGTAATTTAGATGAACAGAGTTTTCCAGTTCTCGGGTCCAGATTAGCTACCCGAGATTCAAACTGATGAGACATGCCAAGCAATAACTAATCACCTCGGAACTCACCAGGGCACTGTTTGCCTTGTGACTGATTATTTGGAGATCAGAGATGTCACTGGGCAGCTGCCACATCTGAACTGAAGCTGGAGACCCTTAGCAGTCAGGCCTTCATCTTTCCCCACTAAATATTACCAAAAGGGTGCTCATTTTAAATAAGCCAGGACAGGCATGGGGCTCCTTGGAGAAAAAGATGTGCACCTTAGCTGAGGCTCCAAAGGCAGAGAACAGTTGTCATCTGTTGTTACACTCTGTGAGGGTAGATCATGTTTCCATCAAGACCATTCTTGTACACATGCCCATTAAATCCCTGGATGAACAGCTGATTGGGGCTGAGCTCTTTTGGCAACCCTGATGACTTTATTGCATTTTCTTTCTCCAGGCTGATCTGTGTGCTCTGTATATTTCTGAAAAATCCTCGTTTCCTCCATCATTACTCATAGGGTGCTGCTTGCAGTAAACTTCTATAAGCCTCTTTTGAATGTGTATTTCTAGTCTTGACCACATTTTGTATGGTCAAGGAGTAGAGAAATGTTAACTGTTTTAGTAGTGGCTCACGCATTTTGATATAGGGAAGCTGAGTGGTGACTGTCAGGTAGGAATAGAGGTTGAGGCCTCTTGGGTAGCACTTTATGTCAGATGGAAAAAATGTTAGTTGTCCATATTTGAGACAGAGAGCAGGTACAGCCTCCCAAGCTACCTCTTGGCACTGCCACTGCTTATATGAAACCATTTTTTGTATATTATTATTAGGGTTATGTCTTTTTCTTTCCCATCAGGAACTTATCACTCCCAGAATTCAAGGAGAAAGTACACTCGCTATTTAAAGATAGCTGTCCTGACTCTGCACACCTGTTTTGAGGTAGGCAGATATTGTTTGCACCCACATAGGCCTTGGTCTTTTCAGGAGGAAGAGGCCCCATCTCACTGCTGTCACAAGGAAGAGCAGTCTTGTTCTGCATGAAGGTTTATTCATCACCAGCCAGAGTCTCTGTAAAGTGCAGTCAGTAGAGCCACAGTCTCCTGTACACATATTTCCCATTCATGACTCCATGCCTGGTCTTCTGTCCACATGTAGGCATGCAAGAATATGTTTTAGAACAGCCCTTTAAACTCTTGGCTTTCTATCTCCAACAGAATACCTTTAATTCTCTCTCTTGTTTCTCTGAGTCCTCCCTAGTAAACAGAAACAAGATCTCTTTCAATGCATTGTAAAAGATGCTATGTAGGACCTCACTCGTCATATAAAAGCATCTTCAAAGCCCAATTTTTATGTCACTAGTTCCTGTTAAATTGTGAGTGTTAGAGAAAAGGCTGGGATTCCTATATCACCACATTCTTGGGAGCCCAGAATGAAACTCCCACGAAGGAAGGATCCAAGTCACAAACCTGTGTGTTGTGCTGTATGTTTGAGATCAGGGTTTGCAAAGTACCGCCCGGTGGGGCTCCCTTCTTGGATGCTGTTGCCTCCAACTGTCTCTCAGCAGACAAAACATTGATGACAGAACCCTCATTTGGCCACCTAAAGAACACTTCCTATCAAGTTATTGGGAGAGGAATTAAGGCCCTGTGGGCTCTTCACAAAGATATCCTGATTTCTGATTTATTTGCAATGTCCCTGCCCCAGTAGTTCTTTGAGATCAGGGCTTGTCTCATTTCTCTTTGATTCTTCTCCCTCTAGCACAGTGCTAGCACCTAGAAAGGATGAAGTAATACTTGATTCAGTGAACAAGCACTGGTATTTGCCAATGCCCCAGTGAGGCATGCCTGTTCTCTCCATTCAAAGACTTTATCCTGATCCCTGAGGGATTGTCCTCCACTTTGATGCTGGCAATGGAGACCTGGTGTGTTTTCTGCTGAAACTCTCTGCTGGCAATCTCTGGGACATTTTCCCTGGTCTTCAGTATTTCAAGCCTTTCCTGAAGTCCCCAGAGGAGTCTCTTGTGGCAGGGCTTGACTTCTCCTTGAAGGAGAGACTCCTTTTCGAGTTCTCTTTTATAAGAGTAGAGAAGGCTTACAAGTGACTTCAACAGTGGGTCTTCTGTGAGCTCCCCCCTACCGTTATGGCAACCTTGCTCTCCAGGTGTGTGTGTTGCTCTGGCATGCTCTTCATCTGGCCCTTCTGGGGAGCATCAGATCTCTTTGATGCCTACTCTTCCCAACACTCCTGTGCCCAAAGCCCTGATGCCT